CATCATCATCATCATCATCATCATCATCATCATCATCATCATCATCATCATCACCCAGCAAGTCCAAAGGACGGGTGAAACTGGTGCGTTACTAAAGAACTGGTTAAACTGCTTTCGTTGACCCATTGGATCATCATCCATCCTGCAACTTCATGTCCGATCTGTGGATGTTTTGGGGGCCCCGAAGTCTTTTTGGTGCTTTCCGATGGCAAAGGTCTATGGCATCCCCGCGCTGGCCGCTGCGTTACAACATGCCGTGGGGAACGCCCAGCACGTTCGACGGGCGTGGCGTGGCTTTCTGGGACAAGTAAGGACGAGTATACTTACGGGAGTACGGGAGAAGAACGATTGGAAAAGGGCCCAGTATGTCATATCAATTCATATTTGTTGGAAGATCAGATGTTGGAAGGTTTTTATTGGCGTTGATTGGGAGCTAAGTTTGCAAGATATCGCTGGATTTTGGAGATAGATGCATGTTGGAGGGAAGCCGTGTGGCTCAAGATGGATCAAGATGATCAGGCATTTTCGCTCAAGTGGTCACTTCCTCAACGACAGGGCAGGCATGGAGATTCAAGCACTCTCTGGTGCCACGGTTTCCCAGCTTCAATTGGAGGATCTACTCTGCATGGTGGAGAGTGGACAATCTGTAAAGGATCTGAAAAAGCTCTTAGCCAGACGGATTGGATACTCGAGATTTCGACAAAGACTCGTCAGTGAAGAGCTGGGCGAGCTACGGGATGATATGCCTGTCAGACAACTACCAAGTTTGCAGTTGGTTATCTTGGACTTCTGTGCACCTGAGCAGGCAGAGTGGGAGGCACTACTCCTTGCATGTCAGAACAATCGAGTTGTTGAAGTTGAACAGTTGCTTCAGAAACCACTGGATCCAAATTCGAGAAGCCCGGTCCCTCGACCTGTTTGGCCTATGTCTTCCGCGGCGGAACGGGGCTATTTGGAAGTGGTAAGGTTGTTGCTCGAGGCAGGAGCTGACAAGAATGCAATGCAAGACGGGGCAACCGCCTTGATGAT